AATAAAACGTTGAAGGTACATCACATGCAAATGTTTTTTGGTTCACATTTAAAAAACATCGCATAAAAGCCTGGCAATGTTTTGTGCTAGCTGGGGATAAACCATAGATACTAGAATAGTATCACGCGTGTGGCCGTATATCCGGGAGCTGATATTGGATCTGACCATAACCCAGGCCTTCAATAGCCAATTTTAAACTCGACCTTAAAATAACAAGGAAAAGAAAAGCCCCTCGAAAATACGATGTTCAGAAGCTTAACAAGACAGACATTAAGGAGAACATGAGACTGGAACTGAACCGACTATGCAATGCCAATGACATAACAGCAAAGACAAGCCTGAAGACATTTGGATCAACGTTAAATAAAATCTTCAAGATGCCTGTGAGATAGTCTTAGGCCAGCAGCAACGCGTCAAGAGTAGACCGTGGATGACGGATGAAATTCTTGATATAATGGAAGAACGGCGGCGACGTGCAAAACTATCTCAAGGGTCTGAAAGGTATACTGAACTGCATCGGAAAATGAAACGAAAATGTAAAGAAGCCAGAGAACAAGGATCATTGCAGAATGTAAGGAGACTGAAAGACTCCATGAGCTACATACGATCATCAATCCCATTTCTTAGAAATGAAAATGGAGAACTCATCCTTAATCCAGATGACCTGCGCAATGAGTGGAAATAGTACGCGGAAACGCTTTTTCATGATCAGCGCAACTTGCAAGACCTCTTCAGCTCAACAGAACAACTTACTGGGCCAGACATACTGGAGAGTGAAGTTCAACAAACTATCAGGCACATGAAAAATTGAAAAAGCCCTGGTTATGACAATGTACATGCTGAGGTTCTGAAGACGCTAGATACAAAAATCTTGACATATCTACACAACAAAATCTATGAGACAGGTAAAATTCCATCAGAGTGGCTCAAGTCTACCTTTGTACCCATACCTGAAAAAAGTACCCCCAGAAACTGTGCAGACTACAGGCTGATAAGTCTAAGTCTAATGAGTCACGCTCTTAAACTTTCTCCGAGTTATCCATGCCCGAGTATATAATAAGTACGAAGCATTGAGCGGAGAAACCCAGTTTGGTTTTATAAAGGGCTCAGGCAATAGGGAGGCACTGTTCTCTATGAAACTACTTGTCCAGAAATGTTATGATCAGAGACGAGATGTGTTTATTTGGTTGTAAGAGATTGGCATAGATTCTAGATTCTAGCGATATTCGTATAATCCAACATCTTTATTTACAACAAACTGCCGAGGTGAGAATCAACAACGAAATCCACTACTGATACATTTTGTAAATCCAAAGGGGTTCGCCAGGGATGCATCCTGTCACCAATTTTATTTAATATTTATGTGGAAAAGATATTTGAGTTGGCTTTTTAAGAAGATAATAGAGGAATTAAAGTCAACTATGAATTCCGATTAGTAATATGAAGATGATACTGCCCTACTAACGCATTCACCTGAAGATCTTCAACAGCTTGTATACAGAGTAAACCAAGTAGGTAAACATTTTGGACTGACAATCAACTCATCAAAAACGAAAGTTATGGCTATTACTCGGCAACATGTAAGCTTTGTGATTAGAGTTGACGGAAGAGACTTGGATCAGGTGTCGCGTTTTGTTTATCTGGGTGCCACTCTTAACCAAAAATGGGACTGCGATGAAGAAGTTAAAATACGAATTGGACAGGCTAAGACCACATTTATGAAGTTGAAAAATTTTCTGCTTGCCCGTACTCTCCCAATTGAACTACGTGTGACCCATCCTCCTATATGGTGCAGAGACATGGTCAATAAAAGTAAGGACCCTGAACCGTATAGAGGCGTTTGAAATGTGGAGGCTTTCGCAGGCTTCTTCGCATTCCATGGACTGCCCGAAAAACCAACGAAGAGGTGTTGAGAATAGCTGGAGTTCAAAGAGAGCTGCTTGGAATCGTTAAGGCACGAAAGATATCCTATCCTGGTCATATTATCAGGGGTGCGAGATATTCCATTCCAAAGTTGATCTTGCAAGGGAAGATAGAAGGTAAACGAGGGTAGAAAGCAACATTCGTGGCTTCGGAACATAAGGGACTGGTGCGGAATAAGAGATGCCGCCACAGTATTCCGCCAAGCAGAAGATGGCACCCTCCAAATAGTACAAGTATACCACTAAGGATTGCCAACGTGCGCGTTTGCACAGGGCACAAGAAGAAGAAGAAGGAGGTTCTTATATTCTTTTCGTTTTTTATCTTCAATTTCTCAAACTCCTGAATTTTCTTTGTCTGTAGTCTCTGTTAAAAATTTCTAGAAGTCTGTCTGCCTGTCATTTTCTAACTTCTATAAACTTTTTTCCTTAATGATCTTAGAACTTCCGTTAAAAATGATCAGAATTTTCCTATATTCATTCGTCTGTTACAACAGGATTTCAAAGTATTTCTCTCTTTTATCTTCTAAACTGTCAAACTCTTTTCTTTTATGGTCTTCCAGTTCCTCTTGAAAATCGTAATTTTCTTTGATCTCCCAATGTATTATGAAGTTTGTTTTCGTCTTTCATTTCTCTTCATCTTTCAGGACTTTCAGTTTCTAAAAGTTATATTGCCTATGGTCTTTATTGATCATCCCTCGAATAATCCAGAAACTCTTCAAATTATTCTTCTTTCTGATCCATCAACGTCTGCGGAAAGTTTTTGTGGTTCTGCATGTTACAATCTCTGAAGAGTGTTCTTGTATACGATCTTTCAGCTTCTGTTAAAAGTCGTCAGATCTTTGAATTTGTCAGAGCCATGGATGTTCTAAGAAACATTTTAGAACTAATTTTCTTTCTGATCCTTCTATGTCTGGTAAAACCTTTCTGTTGAAATCATCAAAGTATTTTTCTATTTGATCTTTCATTATACCATTTACAAATAGTGAATTCAACAAAATTCCACTTGGGTTAGTTTGATGAACGCACTCAAATAGTACAATGAGATTATTAGATGACTCTCTAAATCAAAAAGATTGTTCAGAAGATCCAAGAGTTGAAGGGAACTCAAATGTTACAGTTCAGAGGGTCTGAAAAATGCTTCAAAATGGATATTTTCTGATTTCCGGATTTCAAAATCGGTGAGAATATTTAATTGAATTATTTTCCAATTCCAAAATATCCAAGAATGGTAAATGTATTCTCAAATTGTCGAAGAAGGCATATCTGACGACGGCATGGTTTAGGGCAAGAAAGATGTAGGTTTTCCCTAATTTCAAACTGTTGATGAAGGCATTATTGAGAAAAGCGAAAACTGGACATTAAAATACTTGAATTTTTCATATTTGGACAATTTGTACGCCTATGAACGAATCTAAATCGTACAAAGGCAAAAAAGATTCTCAACTTTCAAAGTTTATTACACTTTGAAAAGTTATGAAGAAGACGATTCTAGTGTCTCTTCTATTTTTCATCATTTAGCATTTGAAAATCTCCAACTGGGTTAATCTAAATGCCTAGAAGCAGTTCCAAGTGTATCTATAATTTTCCATAAAAGATTTTGAATTTGGGAAGAATGGGTTCTAAAATCCCAGACACACAGTCTTTAAAGACGACCTTTCTAGGTCTGCAATGCGCCTGAACGTCTGAAGATCAGAAAAAGGACGTCCATAAGATGTCGTAAATTCACATCTTAAGACAACTGAGCCACACTATTTGGTACAACTGGGCTCAAAAGTGAATAATGGTTTATGTATTAAAAAGAAATTCAAAAACGTCTGACATCTCGTTGAAGACTTCTTTAGAATGTCTTGGAAAATGTCATAGACTTTTTTATGCAGATGTGGGGCTTTGTAACATAAGACGTCTTTAAGATGCCTTGAAAGTTCAAAAAACGTCTTGACATCTTAGGGACGTTTTGGAGATGTCTATAAAATCTTCCCACATAATTCGTTTCTCATTCAATTTAGAAGTTACTGGAAACCATTTAAAATTCTACAGAACACTTTAGAACTTCAATAAGCCCTTTGGAAAGTTCAAAACACTTCAAATTCAATTCAGAATTCCCAAAAGTATTCTGTAGCGCTTCAGAACCATTTGGAAACTTCAGAACAATTTTAGAATGCTCCAAAATATTCAAAACCCGTTTTACAATTTCCAAAAGCATTTTAGAACAATTCAGAAGTTCTAAACTCATTTTAGGACGCTCCATACACTCAAACCGAGTCTCAGACACTCTAGAGTCTAGAATCTCCAGAAACATTTTGAAAAGCGCCAGAATCTTAGGATTCATTTTAGAACTGGAAACCTTTTAGAACTCTTCTGAACCAATTTAGAATACTTTGGAGTTCCAATACTTAAAAATATCTCAGAACGATTTAGAAATTACAGAAAAACTTCTAAAATGCTCCAGAACTCTTCAAGCCCAGTTAGAAAACTTTAGAACTTCAATAAGCCATTTACAACGTCCCAAAACACTTTCCAGAGTAGTCAGAATTATTTCAGAGAGGAGAGCCTAGCCTGGAATAGACAAAAATTGACTGTTATGGAATGAATAATAATAAGGAAATATTAGCAAGAAAAGGTTTCCCTTCCAATTCAAATTTTTCCTATTCCAGGCTCTTGATTTTTCCTGATTTCTTTATTCTAAATTCTTAACTTTCTTTTGGCTGTTGAATTTTGTCATTCCGAATTCTTGAATTTTCATTATTTCCATATTTTAGAATTTCAGGCTATTGATTTGTTTTTCAATTTTACTGCTGGCTCTCCTATGTTTTTCTTCCAAAATGAATTTTGTGAATGTTTTCGTTCAAAAAAAATCAAGAATTTAGGAGCCTAGAGTTTGGAATAGACAAAAATTGAAAATTATAAAAGAATTGTCGTTAGTATGGCTTCAGTGTCACTGATGCATATAGTTCTAAATCTAAACGCACCGACTGATGAATTGAACCACGGATATCACTGATACTGTAGTATAACGGCACTGATACGGCATGATAGTGTGTGTAACTAGACCTTAATGAAGAACTCTCGCTGCTTTAGTTGATTGCCTAGTTGAGAACAAGTCTGAACGAAAATTAAAACATGGCCGAGCCATTCAAAAGAGATTTTGTTGAATTTGAAAAAGCTTTTCGAGAGCTTAAAACTGAACTTCATATGAAACGAGTAAGTAATTTTGACTTTATTAATCTTAGAATCAAGTACTTATACTACATATTTCTAAAACCATTCAATCTTCAATTATTCACTTGAACAGAAGAGTAGATATCAAACACTTACAATAACTGTTTTGAGTTTTGAATGGTTCTAGCTGGTTGTAATTTGGTAGTATTGCATAGTACCTGTAATAAAAAAATGTCCAGATATTATGCACCACTCTGTATATTGTGAAATAATTAATTCATGTAATGTAGAGTGAAGTAACAAAACTTAAATCAGAACTCGAAGACGCCCACAATGAAATACACAATTACAAACAATCCTTGGACAAGGAAAAAAAATCATCGGAAGACAATAAAATCACAATGGCTATGTTTATGAAGAGAACCCAGGATTACGAATCGAAGTTTTTTGAAAAAAGAGACGCCTTGGCGAGATTGGATTTACAACATAAAATGGAGTGTTCGAAAAATACCGAGCTGACAGAAGATCTCCGAAAAATTGCCTTTGAAAAATTACAACTGGTAAGGAAAATTGTTGCACTCGAAGAGCAACGAAAACGCGATATGTTGTATACTAATGATATTACTCAGCATTGTATGCAAGTTAAAAATATGATGGAAACTCTACAAAGGTATAAATACATATAAGTTTTTAAGGCGTACAAAAATTAGTCTTTAAATTTTTCAGCGATATAGGAAAAGTCAATGAAGATCATGAAACTCTTCATTGCTTAATTCAACAAGTCGATTCGATGCAAGAAAGTGCTCAAACGTGTCAAGGATTGTCAGATTCCATTGCAATTCTAAAAAGTGAAATGAAAACTTTTGAGGAAGAAAGTGTAAAATACAAAGCAAAAAGCGAATTGCTCGAGTCATTGATTTCGGACAACGTAGGCCTACAGGACCAAGAAAATTTAGAAGCCAAAGTCATATTGAACCAGTACAAAAAAATGATTGCCCATAACAAGCAGATAATAGAAATTAAAAACGAAATGATTAAAACTTTAAATAGCAACTTGAACCAGGAGAAGAAAATAAATATTAAACTTATCTTGGATAATGATAGGATGAATGAGCAGATTTTGAATTTGCAGAAAAAAAGTAACGAACTGAGAGCAAAGATTGGCGAAACCATTCAAATAGCAGAACCGACACAGCCAGTGCAAAATACCCTACTTGAAGCTTCTGTTGCGCGTATTAAAATTGAATCAGATATAATTATTGAAATAGAAGATAGTCCTCGTCATGTTTAAATATATTGAAAAACGTTAATGTTGTTATCTGTATTCTTCATATAAATATAGGAGAATATTTCGAAATAATTTTGGTTGTCTATCCTATTCTTAAGTTGTTTTGTTTTTTGTAGGAATTTACCATCATTGGTTTAAAAGCATTTCATATAAACCTTTGAAAATAAAACCATTTGAAACCACAACCATTAAAACAAATTTTTATAGCTGGCGAGGTTGATAATACAACTCATCCCTGATTAAGAGCGCCAAAATCCATAAAGACCGATAATTTTTTTGATTTTAAAAAGGCCAAAGTCAGTAGTACAAATACAGGCCTCAACTTTTTCCTATTCTATCTAACCGCATTTCCAGAAAAGAAAAAACTAAAAATGTATAATATATTTACATTATTTCTACTTTCTTCATGCCTTACAAATACTTTCAAATAGTTTTTGAAAAATCATAGTTTACAAAAATCGTCGGATTAAAATACTTTTTCAAAACCTCTATATGCCGGATCCTTATAAAACCTGCCTGGTAACCCGAAGCCCAATAAGTACATGCTTGGGGGTTCGGATTGGCTGCTACTTTTGTTACCGCTTGCAAAGGATAATTGTGAATATTCAATTTTTCCAAGGAGACTTTTGTCAAATTGTTCGTTCGCGTATTTGGGATGTTGGAAAGTTTATCCTAAAAGAACATTTCCAAAATTACTTATTGCTGGCTTTGCAAGCATACACTTACCGAATTATAATCAGTAAAAACAATCCCATAATGTTCTCTGGCTTCTTCAAATGTACTACAAAGAGGAGGTTTTGTGTCATTATTTTTACTTATCAGCTTGGCAATGGAAAATATCTAAAACATAAATAAACAAGTTAGTTTTACACAAAAATACATTTTGAACACTTACACATTTCACATAGTTACTCTTAAATTGTTTCTTATCAATATTGAAAAACATCCTGTGAGAAAACTGTCCCATAACTTCTCCAGCATTGCTTCCATGCAAAATCAAATTCAACCAATCACTGAATGACACTGATTTAATTCCAGAAGGTGAGTTGGTGAAGCAGCAAAAATCTGAGCTCAAGACTTCTCTTATTGGTCGGATAAACGAGTGGGCGGAAACTTGAAAAGATAATTTCAATCAATTTAGTAGTGACAAATATAATTAAAATTACTAACCAGTATCGTTAAAAGTTGTTTCGTCTTCGGCGCACAAAGCAACAGGCCACTGAGTTAAAAATTGTCCATCGGACACTCCGTATTTCTTATTGGTCATTTGTTTAGTCATATTAGAGAGATCCCAAAAGGTAGTGACTTTATCAAGTCCAGTTGTAAAGCACCATCGATTACCCTCCCCGTAATGACACAATGATAATGAGGTAACGCATGAAACGTGCGCCTGAAACGTTAGGTATGGTAAAATAATTCGGGTGCCTTCTTGATTCTCTTTCTGCCATAGCGTTGACGATGACAGTAAGTCAAATATGGCAACTATACCGCTTGAATAACCCACAGCAATGTACCTATGATCTTTGGCTTTTGTCCATGAGATTTTTGTGGCGTAATAATTAGTGGAGGTTTTAACATTTTCTAGTTGTAGTTTAACTGAAGGTTCGCATTTGTAGATTAGTCCCTTATCGTTTTCCTCTTTGATATTATCGATAGAATAAATATAAGCGTAAGAATCTGAAGTTGCCACAGCTAATAAACCCAATCTACAAGTTAATTTGTCATTATTAGCTAGGTCTAAACAGCCAGAAGGGCACCATTCCATATGCCATATTGGACCTGTGCTCAAAGCCAAACCAAATAATAGATAAGGATTGAAGTCATCATCCTAAAAGTAACATAACTGTTTTATCTATAACTAAGAAATGAAAATATTGACCTACCTTTTGCCAATGCACCTGACCACAATTCCAAAATTGTATAACTGAAGGTTCTGAATACGTTTCGCCTACAGCATATTCTTTTTCAGGATGATTTATAACAGACACAGCTAAAATTTGATCGTAAATTTCTGCTTGAAATGGAGTTGGCAACCAGGCTAAGCAAGCAATGGGACCTCCACAGTAAATGGTCGATTCTCCTAGAAATTTATATCATACATTATATTGTTCTTAAATTTAAATTAAACTCCAAATTTCCTCACCTTTATAAGATTTTGAAACTTCAAACAATCCTAATTTTCTAAACTCTAAATCACCTAATTTATCATTTACATTAAGCTCCTTAACACTAATATCACAGGATTCAAGTAGTTTTGGTAAATATTCATCCAAAATATCACAATCCAACACTCTATGAGGCTCTTTACTTCGAAAACTTTCAAACAAATAACAATTACTATAGCGCTTTTCACAGCTGAAAATTATCAGTTTGAAAACATGTACAAAATTAATTTGGGAATTTACTTACAAATTCATCATCCATGGGTAGGCTTGTGGATAAAAAAGCGATTTTTGCTCCCTCATGGGATAAACCAAAAATATAGGTTTTACTTTGTGAACAAGACTAGTGCCAGTCAACAACTGTTTCCTATTTTGCCTTAATTTGTGTTGTTCTTTCAATAATTCGTCCTCAAATTTATCTACATCAGACTCATTTTCTTCTTCTACACCAACATCATTGAATTCCCCATCATTATCAACATTCACTTTATTATGATCTATTTTGACATGATTTTCAATTTCCACTTCATCCCTAGTCCAAACTAAGCATAATTTACACACAAAATATTGTTCTGGTTTGTTTTCACAACTATTTAAATGGTGAATCAAATTTTCTAAAGAATCACTTTTAAATTCACAATTGTTGTTGTTGAATATACAAAATACTTGGTCGATATCTGTGTATTTCTTCCTTAGTCGTTTTAGAACCCAACTTTCCTCAAAATCACATTGTTCAGTGTAATACTAATAAAGAAATCGAGCTAATTAACAAAAAAATACAAGGAAAATGTATCTTACCTTTGAACTATTTACGCCTTTAATTGATTTTATTACATTTAAAGCCCTAAAAGAATATGGTATTAATTTTTTATTTGTTTATCCATAAATGATCAAACCTTGTAGCTGCTTTTCTTTTTCCTCCAGTTCCAACATCAACACTGAAATAATCAGAAGCTGAAATCTGTTTCGGCCATTCAGGTTTGTTATGCGCTTTCAAGTGATAATCCATGCTGACGGGCAACACTTTTTGACCGCACAATTTACAAGCTACTTTAACGCTTTCCATTTCTTCCTGGGATTTTTGGCAAACAGTTTTGTGGGACAAATACCCAACGACCGATTTCTTCTGGACTTTGCACTTTTCGCAATGTAGAGGTTTTTTGGATTTGTACAGTTGGGTGAGGATACGCATGACGATATCTTGATCATTTAGGTTCTGCGAAATTGAATAAAATAAGAATTTATACCAAATGATGATATGCTAAAAAAGCCTTGCATGTCAAATTTTAAATCAGATTTACCAGAAATAACTTGTAGCACCAAAGTTATAGTTAGGTTAACTTTATTTTATAGGCAACTTAAAACTCAAATCAATGCGGTTTTATTAGTTAAACCATTGTTTGATATAAAGGATCAGAGTTAGCCAATCCAAGATGGAAGCTATCGTGTCGAGGGATGGGTGGCAGCTGGGTCTTTACCAACCAGCTGTCTTGAACGATGCCTCCAGGAAACCGGGCGAAATCCTGGTGTATCTAGCCTTACCACTGCACGCAGGGCTCTGTAGTGGCGGACCCAGTATTTTCCTTGCTACTCGTGGGATTTAATATGAGAAACAATAACAAAAATAAAAACACCTATATTCCTGTAGAGGAAACAATGGAGGTGGAAAATCCGACTCTGGCAACAGAGGCCCGCGAGATACCTCCAACCATTCCTCCAACATCGAACCAGGAACAGGAATTGTTGCGTTCTGATGACGTAGACAGTCGGGAGGCAGTAAGCACCGAAACAAAAAGAAATAAACTAAGAATATCAGGAGCTCAAAAAAGGAACCTGAGTCGTCTTATCAAGAGCGGGGTCTCTCACGAAACCGCCCTGAAAAAGGTGATCGGAAAGCGGGCGACTAAAATCCAGTAGCCAGAGGGGGATCCAACTCCAGAGCTGCAGAAAAACGTCTGCGATCCGACATTAGCACCCCAGAACAGGCAAGTCGCTGGAGCTACTAGGGTGGAAGTGATCCCCCCTGATTACCCCAGCGCAGTCTTCACCAGCGAACAGCTGACTAGCCTGCAACAGGCCATCCTAGAGGCGGTGCAGAACATGTCAGACGGCGGTCAGCAGGTGCGATTCCAGGGCTGCACTCATTGCCCATGGCTGCAAATAACCTGTGCCGACCACAGCAGTCTGGTCAGGCTAGAGGGCGCGACAAAGCACCTCAAGCCATGGGAAGGGGCAGAAATACGCGTTGTAAAAGGCGTAGATCTGCCAAAACCTCACGTCTGTGTGGCGTTCTTCCCTGACGATAAGGACGGCCAACGCCTTGTGCCAGAGGAGGTGCTAGTCAGGCTGAGGAAGATGAACCATGGCCTGAACACTCGAGAGTGGACAATCCTAAATTAGAGGCGCTACAAGTAGTTGAGTATGCAAAATGTGAGGACCGGCAAAAATGCTCAAATTGGTATTTCTGTGATCCTAAAGAATGGGAAAGTACATCTTGCCGGCAGCTGGAGTGGTCCCTAACTCTCCTGCCATCCTCCAATGCAAAGTTATATGGAAAATATCACAATTTCAAGTCATTTCACAATAATTCCTATTGATTGTACCTGAGGCTTTCTTTTCAAGCACTCAAAATAAATTACCTACAACTTGTTAGATATTTCTGCAATTCTGCTCCAAAATATACACAAATAAAAGAAGACTGTGAGATGTACAGGGTCATCCAACGACGACTGATCAGGGGCTTATTTTTGACCGTTTTTGTAATTTTGAAAAAAATCAAAATAGCCAATTGGCATATTTTTTATACGTGCTATAGGAGTCATACCGAAAGTTTCAAAAAATGAGAGTATTGATTCTGTAAAAAATATAGGTGATAACAAATATTCTGACAAGGACAATAATCTTCCAAAAGTTTTGAAATATTATGAGCCTGTTTTTCCTGGTATCGGTAAGGTAAATAAACAGTTCTCACTTACTTTGAGTGTTGGTGCTGTGCGACATGTGAGCGGGCCACGAAAAATACCAGTTGCTCTCAAGGACAAAATAAAATCTGAACTTGATGAAATGGTAAAAGAAAAGTTAATTATACCGGTTACTGAGCCCACCGATTGGGTCCATCCCATTGTTGTAGTACAAAAACTAGATAAAAAAGACATTCGTATTTGTGATCCTCGTATTCTCAATAAATACATGAAACGAGAAATTTTTGAAATACCAACTCAAGATGTATTATTTGGACAACAAAGCAAAATATTTTAGCTTGCTAGATGCATCGTCCGCCTTTTTGCAGCTCCCCTTGACGTATGAAAGTTCTGTTTTATGCACTATAGCTACAAGTTTTGGCAGATATCGTTACCTCCCTCTTCCATATGGAATATAATGCGCTCCTGAAATTTTTCAAAGGTGCATTTTTGAACATTTAGAGGGCGTTCAAGGAGTATCATCGTATTTCGATGATATACTCATTTATGGAAAAACCATTGAGAAACATTGCCAAAATTTACATACTGTTCTTGAAAAAATTAAAAACACTAAATCGAGAAAAATCAAAGTTTTGTGTTACCGAAATCAGATTCCTTGGCCATATTATCAGTGCGAGTGGTGTCTCACCAGATGAACGTAAAACCCGAGCTATACGAGAAATGGAATCACCCAAAAATAAAAAGGATTTACAAAGATTCTTGGGTATGATTGTTTATCTCTCAAAATTCTTGCCGAATCTATCGAATGAAACAAATACACTTCGTATTGCTCAGTATGGCAGTGGACTGCGAATGAAGAAAAGTCCTTTAATAATCTGAAAGACCTAGTTGCATCGGCTACTACCTTGTCATTTTTCAGTCCTATAAAGAAGAAATTACACTGTCCGTAGACGCAAGCCCCTATGGATTAAGAGCCTATATTAGCCAAAATAATCGCCCAATTGAGTTTGCTAGCGTGTCTCTATCATCAACTCAACAAATATACAATCACATCGAGAAAGAGCTATTGGGGCTTGTTTACGGTTGTGAACGTTTCAACTACTATTTGTGCGGGCAGGAAAATTTTAAAATCGAGACTGATCATCGTCCTCTTCTTGGACTCCCGAAAAAACCATTAGACGAAATGTCACCACGCATTCAAAGACTTGCTATAAGGCTACTTAAATATCGCTTTACCTTAACATTCGTTCCAGGAAAATACCTTCAAATTCCTGATACATTAAGTCGAGAACCTTCTAAGGAATCAATAAATACTGAGTATTTAGATTCAAATTTAAAAGTTTTTTCAGTCATAGTTGTAAGACCTGAAACTGAACACAGAATTATACAAGCTACCGAGTCTGACCATGTACTAAGTGAAATTAAAAACTATGTATTGAATGGATGGCCACAACACAAAAACCTGACGTCCCAAAATGTGAGAAAGTTTTGGCCTATAAAAAATGAAATATTTTTACATCAGAATGTTCTTTTTCATAACAAATGTTTGGTCAAATTCATAAATATCATCAAGGAGTCGTGGCATGCAAAAATCTTGCTCAAAAAGCAATCTACTACCCTGGATGGTCATCAATGTTGAAAAAATGGTCCTTACTGTGATTTATGTCAATCCTATTCAAAATCCAATGCTAGAGAGCCACTAATTCTCCTCATGAAATCCCTGATCCACCCTGGCAAAAAGTCGGAATAGATTTTAAATCACTTGGCACACAAGATTTTCTGGTAGTTGTCGACTACTTTAAGGTAGGATTTTTAACTATCCAGCATTGCGGTATGCGGCAGTGGTGTGCGGTACTGCGATGTTGCGGATATCGCAACCCGCATGCTGTTGGCGGCAAATTTGTTTTTCAACTGTCAGGCAAATATTTTTGAAGTCGCGATCAAAAAATGGAATCAGCTACCCGTCGTACTATTGCTGCGATTATTTTGTTCGAAGAAGATGGAGAAGAAGAAGCTGTATTTCACTTTTGTGAAAATCTCAGTGAAATAGTGAGTAATTTTAAACCAATTTGGCCCAAATTGCTCGTGTAGGCGAAGCTAATTATCGTCGAAATAGGCAGCAGCTTAGACCTAGAAGATCATCACTATCACCAGAAAAATTAGTGGTGGAAAATAAACAAAAACCTGAAGTTATCAGACAGACAAGAACACAGACTATGAATGCATCTTCTGGAGTAAATGAAAACATACCACAAAATTGACAAAAGAAAGAAATATACATCCAGATACAAAGAATTACTTAAACAGAAACATTTATACTAGGAGCGGTAGATGTGTAAAATGCCAGAAAAATTTGCCAATTCCAGAAAATAAATAAGCTTTCTGATACTAATTTTATTCCATTTAAAAATTCCACCCTGTATATTTAAAGGGTATGCTGATTGAACAGCTTGCACTAGCAACCGTTATCTTTCTTATTTGATTTGGCCATAAATGGGCTCTTTCACTAAAATTTAAATACGTAATTTAAGTATAAAATCTCAAAGGAGGGACTATTTTAGGCATATATACCAAAAAAAAAATGTTCTACAAGGTTCAATAAGTTTTTCATAGGCAATTAAAAGTGCCTAAATTCAAACTATTTTAAAACGCGCCGATTTGCCGACGTCACATAAATATTCTTCATTTCGCTTATGTCGTTGCAAGGAGGAAGGGCTCGGCTGTGTTTGCGCTCTATAAAGATACGTAAAGGTTCGTGTGCGCTGTTGTCGGTTGTGACTAAATGTAGTGCAGCGTAAAATAAATAAATAAAACTAAACATAAAAAATTGCATTAAATTGTATTTAAGCATAATTTAAAAAAAAAATGTTATAAAATCTTGAATCTATAACTAATTAATTTAACTACTTTTCATGAGATTTTGCCAACATTTCAGAATTAAATCTATTACAAATTTTCAATGTTGACAATTAGTGGCAACACGGTCAAATTGCGAGCTGCGACGTCATAGAAATAAATTCTGGGTTTTTATTTGGAGGTATTTCTTTGTTTTCTGTTTTCTCAAGAAGGACTTTGAATTTTTCAAAAGTAAAAATACAGAAAATTCTGTTTTTAGTTGCTTTATCCAAATATGCCAATTTCAAAAATTAGTGAAAGAGCCCATTGCAATAAGTTTCCGGACGAACTTAAAACTGCGGCTGTCGTACTAATTTTAAAAAAAGGTAAAATCGGTGATGTCAATAATTATAGACCCATAAGTTTATTTATTAGCAAAATTGTTTGAGTTGATATTATG